AAAGTTCAAAATAACAGAATTTGTTTGAAAAACATTTTTTGTAACATTGAAAAAGTTTTTACTGTCACTTTTTTTTTTTTTTACTGAGCCCAAACATTTGAACGGTAGTATAAGAAATAAGACTTTGCCTTCAATTATAGTACTGCCCCTCAAGCTCCTTATAAAATATAAAATATAATTTTATAATTAATTTCAATAATTTAACAATAATAGTTTTTATTATGTCATTAAGTTATAGTACTCTATAGTCCCTTACAAATAAACATTAGCGGAGTGTTCTCTTTGGGTGCTATGCAGCAATATGCAGCTAACAGTTACTTAATGTCAAAGATGTTATTTATTGCATATTTTAGCATAGCTAGAATGTTATATTAACCAATCCAGGACCAGAATTTGTTTTATAATAGCCATTGAACAAAATCATTGTCCCACAGAGATGATAGAGATGGGCTTTGGTGTGGATGCCACTCTTTTCAACAAGGCATGATTTTTTGGTTTTAATTTTTGGCATGTTTTAACATTGTACATTACATTCCAAGACACTTTCAGTCTCGGAGTCGTTGGCTTGTTTGGTTTGTGTGCTTGTGGAAACTAATTCTGATCAGTCCAATTTCCCACTGGTCTTAACGTCTAACAGCACTTCTTTGAATGCTGCATGTCTTTGTATGGTCATTTAGAATTCTGTTAGGACAATGATTGTACTGCTATTTGTTGTGATTGTGTCTGTTTCATCAATCATGTTTTGTGTGTTTGTACAGCTGTCTGTTGGCTCCAGTGCCAGAACGGAGGTGTGTGCCAAAGACCAAACACTTGCTCCTGTCCAGATGGATGGATGGGCCGATTTTGCGAGGAGCGTAAGTACACTCACAAACATGTGCGATAACAACAGCAGCACTCATAAACAGAGATTATTAATATTTCCAAATGACAGCAGTCCATTACTTAAGGCACCATTTCATAGATCAATAATAGCATGCATCACAATAGTTTCTTACAAAGTATTGCTCATTAACAATCACCCCACACACAAAGCTGCATTTCTCTCTGTGGCTTCCAAACTGTTGGGTGTGGTGCCTATACATGCATGAATGTTTGGGAAATAGAAAGAGACCAAGAGGTTTAAACAACATTTTGTCTCATACTGAAGTTGAAAAATTGGTTTTAAAAAGCTGACTTAACACAGATTATTCTGATTATTCCTACGTCTCTTCAACCCAAATGTCACACAGTTTCATACTGCATGTGCTTTTTCCTGCAGCGATCTGCATCCTACCATGTCTCAATGGAGGACGCTGCGTAGCTCCATACCAGTGTGAATGCCCAACAGGATGGACAGGCACACGCTGCCATAATGGTAAGAGTGAGTGTTTGTGTATGATGACTTGTGATAGTCATCAAGAAAATTTATTACATAAATGATGTTTAGTAGCAGAACTAGGTAACAAGTCAGTGCAGCCTCTAACGAGTGAGTAATTAAATAACAAATCTACAACACTGAGGAAGTAGGAACCATCAGCTGCTTTATTCAGTCCTGACAAGCTGAGATGAATGAAACATCTGAAATTAGTGATAACCTCACAGCATTTAATTATAGCCGATTTATTAAGTCAAGCGAACATCTGCCATTTAAGCTATCTATAATCTTGGAGGTTAGTATAAGTCTTAGTTCAACTATAAAAGGTGCTATTTAGGGAAATATCTCTCACCAGACATCATGCTAAACAAATTAAATTTTACAGTTTAAAAGTAGGGTGGAGTGCAGGGGAGTGAAGTGATTAGAGTGATTACAGACAGAAGGTCATTTTTAACCAAAAAAAGTTACGGACTGCAGCTTTAAGTAAACTGCAAAACATCTAACAGGTGAATAAAAATTATGAATTTCAATGAAATATTGAATGACTTGTAAAGAACAAGAACTCATTTACAATACCACACACACGGACCACCACCAGCAGGACTGTAAGTCCATGCATTTAATGGTCTCTAAAGCTGCAGTACCAAGACAAACAAACCTACAGTACTTGCTGAGTTGCTCAGATACATTAAAGCAAACTTGATTTGCTTTTGCAGACTCAAGTACAGTATTTACTATATGTTACCTGCAGTGTTTGGTCTACAGGTTTTACTGATTACTTGCTGGTTTTCATTCTGCGGTTGTGTTCAGACTCTTTGTGTTTTATCGGTCTTGACCAGTGTTGATTCATACGAGGTGTCTGTCAGGACAAAGGTCTGTAGGGCAAAGAGGAATCCTGGAAATGCTTGATTCCTCTGAAATTACAAGGGGATAAATGTTCCCTTTTAAGAACCTTTCTGGTTGTGCTCCAAAACAGACTGTGTGAACGTATGTGTTAAAGAAAGAATGTGGTTCCTCTCCTTTTTTTTTTATTAGAAAGAGACAGTAAATATGCACTGAATTAGTGGTGAATGATTGGTTGATTTTTTTTATGTGTTCTTAGCGGTGTGTTCCATGCCCTGTTTGAATGGAGGCCGGTGTATCCGACCCAACAGGTGTCACTGCAGTCAAGGATGGGGAGGATATGACTGCTCTAGGTAAGCCACACACAAACTAGGTATATTTGACATGTTCATATTAACATATGGACATGTCATCAGAGGTCTCAGAAATCCTGCAACGATGTCCGTGCTCACTCAGTCAAGTCCGGACAGTTTAGGGCTCTCCAGAAGTCTTTTTCAGGTTCAGATAATAAATTACTAATAATAAATCACTCCGAGTCTTGTTTTAAGAGAGGTTTAAAGTTTAAACGCATCACCATATGAAATGGTTTCGCTTTATAAACCAAAAATATATATTTTAAAAAATAAGAGTATAGTCTTCACCCGAGGTGCGCCACAATTCTAATGAAAGCATTCCATTATATATGGAGGAGGCGAGTATAATATTTCTCTTCAACAAAATATTCAGCAAAGTATTCCCTTATTGGATACACAAAAATTAAGCTTAAAATTAACACACACCCTTTTCCTCTACAGTGGGTCTTGGGTTGCCATAGTTACGTCAGCTAAGCAGAGCTATTACACACACACATACACAGCCTCCAAAATATATGAGGTCGTCATTGTGATGTTTATCTAAACACAAACACAGGAAGCCTAACCTTTATCCTACTTACAGCTGCACAGTTCTTCAGGTTATAATAGCAACACCTTTTGAAAGCGTAAGTGAAGCACACGCACATATATAAGCATTTTCCATCTTAACAGTTGTCAACCAAAATATAGCGACACCTGTTAGCTATGTCGCTTTGACAGGATGTTCTCTAACAGGATGTCAGTTAAACTGCCTAGCTGCCTAGCCCCCCCCCCATGTTTCTATTCTTTGGAAACGGCGCTGACTTTTTGAAGTCTCAAAAGGTCAACCTCGCCTGCCAAAGTTCTCATTTCCAAGTCAAAATCATTAATTTCAATGAATTGTTTCACCCGTTTCATTAATCGCTTATATACGCTCACGTTGACGAATTAACTGAATCAGATCTTTAGCGGTGGTGATGAGATCCTTCTTCTCTTGGTCTCTGTCGTCTCCTGTCTCTTCGCTCCATCTTATTCTTCTTTTTGGCGGCCTTGTCGTATCTTCGCTGTAAGGACTCTACAAGCAGATCATCGAAAGGAATTTCCAGTTCACATGTTTCATTCAGATTCCAAATGTGTGGGGATTGGCCAGAAGATTGAACATTACTCGTTGAATTATTTAATACAACAATGTGCATACATCACATGAAATAGAAAATTTTGAAACATTTCACAGTCCTCAACAGATTGTCAGCGTATTGTACAAGAAACACTAAATTACTCAGCTGGGGAGATTGTTGTTGATTGTAAAAGACGAGTAGTGAAACTATTGGGAAATAAAAATGAGAACCAGCCTTCTCTGAACTCTGCTGTGTCAGTATGTGAATTCATGCCTCAGACACGCCTAGTTTCATAATGGCACATCTCTTACAGTAAACACATTTCCCAGGGCACTGCAGTTTGTTTCAATCCAATCTCTGAGATGGCACAAGGATAGGAAATAGATACTGCTGCGGCCATTTCTATTGCGATTCATTCTTTTAAGTAATTTGCTTCTTTCCCATTTGTTTTTCACTGATTCAGTACCAATGTCAAGATTTTATTGAGCAAATACGGTCTCTCAGTAAAGTACTATTGATCTGACAGTTTTACTAAAAGCATTTCCAGCTAGTCAGCTTGATATCTGCATCCCTCAGCTAATTACATGCTGCAGCCTTCATTGCCGGTTAGAGCGATTCACAATTAGATTTACTGGACACTTGGTCGATTTAAGAATCAAATGAGCTTATACATTTTCATTGTCCGTCTGTCTGAACTGTACAAGCAAAATACACCAATGCCTCAAGAAAGTACTATCATAAATGTTTGAATTTTATTTAGTTATGGTGGTAATATTTGGATCAAAAAGGATATTTAATGGTCTTCAGCTGATCTTTGATTATTAATTATTGTCTTTCAGAAAAAGAAGATCTGGATACTTATATTTTTAATGTGCCACACTACAAGAGTTTAAGTCCGAATGTGTTGGAACAAGATGGCTTAATATCAGAATTTTGTATACAACACATTTTCTCTTTCCCTCAGAAAGTTCCAAGTGGTTTTGTAAATTAAAGCTGTATTTTTTCATGTAGAAAATGAAACAGTATTAAATATATGCTGCTGCTATATTACATGAACTTTTACGATGTGTAAAAATGTTGATGTGATTGTCCAGTGTACATGTATATAAACTATTCTTTTCATGTTTTTATTAAAACAGAAAACACTACTATATGAAAACCAACTGTAATTCTCATTCATAGTTAATTATGACGCATTTTCAATTAAACTTTCAGTTTGTTATACTTGCCTGTCTCATATGACTAATAAACATTTGACCTGAACAATTTGATACAACCAGTACAATACAAGAATTTTGTAAAAGTCAACTTTTCATTTCCTTTAAAGTTTTTATTTCATACAAACATAAAATGCCATTATATCATAGGATATAAATGTAGCAGATAAAATTAGAATGAGTTAGAGGTTGAGAATGATGTTTCTGTACTAGACTCTAGAGATTTCTGACATCAAGATCAGAAAACAAAATCTGCGTATACTACTAATTACAGTGGTTGGTTTGTGTGTTTTTCTTCATTTATGCATACTGATCTTCTCCTCCAGGTTAGATTGATTTGATCCAGAAAATTCATCAATCTGAAAAACAATTGTTGAATCAGTTACAGCACAACAGGTTAAAGGGTTAGTTCACCCAAAAATGAAAATTAGCCCATAAATTACTCACCCTCAAGTCATCCTAGGTGTATATGACTTTCTTCTTTCAGACGAATCCAGTCGGAGTTATATTAAAAATTGTCTTTGATCTTTCAAGCTGTTTCATGGCACTCAGCGGGTGTTGCATGCTTCAGTCCAAAACAAGTTAAATAAAAAGCGCCCATCCATAAAAAAAAAGTGTCTCACACGGCTCCGTGGGGTGAACAAAGGCCTTCTGTAGCGAATCGATGCGTTTTTGTAAGAAAAATATCCATATTCAAAACGTAATAATCACTTTAATCTAGCTTGCGCCAACAGTTGTACACCGAAGCAGCTCTGGGCTGATACTCGTTTTGTACTTCTAATTAGTGACCATTGTTTTGTTTTGATCTCTCTGCTGCGTTTCCGCGTGCGTCACTTCGGAGCAGTGCATGCGCAAAGCCGACCTCCATACGTCATCCGCCCGGAACTGCTTCCAGTGTACAACAGTGAGCGCAAGCTAGATTAAAGTGATTATTACGTTTTGAATATGGATATTTTTCTTACAAAAACTCATCGATTCGCTACAGAAGGCCTTTGTTCACCCCACGGAGCCATGTGAGACACTTTTTTTATGGATGGGCGCTTTTTATTTAACTTGTTTTGGACTGAAGCATGCAACACCCGCTGAGTGCCATGAAACAGCTTGAAAGATCAAAGACAATTTTTAATATAACTCGGACTGGATTCGTCTGAAAGAAGAAAGTCATATACACCTAGGATGACTTGAGGGTGAGCAAATTTATGGGCTAATTTTCATTTTTGGGTGAACTAACCCTTTAAACTGCCAAAAAGAGCTAATAAAAAATAGTTCCTCAGAAGATCATGGAAATAGGACAAAAGATGGTTTACCTTCTTTCCATTCTTGTAGAAATGGAATGTTGGCATACATTTGATTTCACAGAAAGTGGCCACATCCTAGACAAGAGAAAGAGGGAGTGGAGATCAGGTCTGATTAGGTTTAGTCTGCGGTGGGATGATAAACATATTTAATAGTGTCTTTTCATTTTGCTTAGCCAGTCTGAGCACTTTTGTAAGAGAGGGCTGAAATTACATCCATGATAGGACTCGAAGGCTGTCGAAATTTAAAAATCCCTGATATATTTAGAAAAATAATTAGTTTCATATTCATTTCATCTTAAATTATGTTTTGCACCATTCCTGAATTCAGTCACAAAAAGGTCCATTGGATATGTGCACCGTTACCAGAACCTTCAAACACTCTGCTCACATTTGCCATCCTTACCTTGCGATTTAAATGTCAGGCAAAAAGCATGACATTTCAACAAATCACAAACATGTATCAAGAATTCAGCTTTCAAACACACATGCGTCCCGTCCCCCATCTGCTTTGCAACACAGCATTGTAATAATAGCTAGTGTTTGTAACCATAACAACATGGGCAACCATCAGAACTGTCCCATTCTGGCACTGTCTCGATCTACCTCTGATAAAACTGAATGACCGCCAATATCCTTTCTGAGCGCTATCCCGTGAATCAAATAACACACTATCAGCAAGCCGATCAGGAGAACAGCAACCGGGTGTGCTGGGATGTTCCAATGTGTTTGGGTCACTTACAAAAGGTTAGGCTGTCTGTGAGTATCCAAATACATTATACTACACCAGACATCCTTGTCTATGGGAGGGAGATAGGGAGGCCATGTATTCAAATGAAAGTAACACAGTACAACCCAGATGGTGAATCTATGTAAAAGGGTGTTCTGCTCATTTGGCTCAGTAGTTTGTAGACTTTCGAGTGCATTCATAAGAGAAAAAAGACACCAGGTGACTAACCTGTGCATCATCCACATCCACCTTTAGAAACACGACATTTTTGTTCTCTTCTTTTTCAGACAGCGCCTGTGGAGGGGGAAAAAAGGCGGTAGTAAAAAGCAAACCACAAAGCTTGCAATCAAAGCACTTCCTTTGAACTTCATATTTTATTCATTCCGTTTCATCCGTTAAATTTGTATATGCTTTCTTTAATTGTCTAAACCAGGTACAAATTTATGTGTATTGACTGAAAGTAAAAGTAAACAACCGGTTAATGATTTTTATGTATGTTACATACAGTCAAACCAAAAATTATTCAGACACCAGATATAATTTTTGGTATTTTTGTACTAGTGGGTGCAGGACACTATAGTTCATTTATGTAAGTGAGGATAGCAAAATAAACTGACATATTAGGCCTATACCCAAAAATTCGTCATACAGTGGACTACCAGTAAATTGATAAAAAAAATTGTTACCAAAAATTATTCACATTTTGACCTGACCATGTTTTGCTTAAGTGTTATCTGACATCAAGTTCAAGATGAATTTGTTCTGACAGTTTAGCTCGGAGTTCTTGCCAGATTTTATTACCATTTTCTAAACTATAGCGAATAAACTGTGATAATGTGTGAAATGTTGAAGGTGTCTGAATACATTTTGGTTTGACTGTATGTGGCTGAGGTTCTTTTGTAATTTGGTTAGTTCTCAACCACACCAAAATCTCAAAATAAGGTACTGCCTTTAAGGAATAAATCAGCACTCTTTTGTCTTTTATCCCTCTCTTCTTTCTTTATCAGCACTGGCTCTCATTTACATTCTGTAAATGATTCATGCTTTAATTCTTAAGGAAGCTTTCCTGTTGGTTGCCCCGACAACACAGCACAACAACAGAGCCACTCCCGGTGATTCCGGAGGCCTCTATAGAATAAACATGACAGCTCCAGATGTCACTCTCAATCTCGGATGCGGCGACATATTCAGCAGTGCATGAATGCTCACTTTATAGAATGGAGCGATACTCTGGCAGGGCCCGCACCATGTGGCTGTGAAGTCCACCACTACCAACTTGTTCCCGGCATTTTTCAGAGCGTTGTCGAAGGCATTCTGCAGAGAGAGAGGGAGGAAAAGTTGATTCCATTTCCAAACTGGCATGACACATTCTTTCCTGCTGAGGTTTACTGAAATGGACGATGAGTCACAATGGCATGGTTTAAGCAGGGTGATTGGGACTTTCAAATATTTACAAAAGAGCCATAATTACGGTACCAGGAAGCTTACGGAGAAATGGGTGCAGGTTTTGCTTTCTATATGAGATATAAGCCTACTGGAAAATACAGCTCATATCCTTTTACTTTTCCTGAAATTACACTGAAGCAACACAAGCACTTACTACTTCATTGTAAATCAATATCTAATTGAACATTTTGATGGTGATGATACAAAAATGTGTACACGTATTTGTATTTTATTACAATCATTTAAACTTCTTTACGACTTTGTAAGTGTCATCATAAATCAGTTTAATGCAAATCATATTTGAATTGCATGCATATTAATGTTTAATACTCAGATTTGGCATGTCTAGAACCAAAACACTCAGAAGGACACTCCGTAGGACAGAAGATCACATCTCGTGTGAGTACTATCCTTCGATATCCGATTCTTCAACGAAGCATTCTTTCGAGTCTGATTTTTAATGAACCTGCTGACAAACAGGTCTGGAAGATTCGTTCATGAAACTGACTGAATCGATCTGAGCCGTGTGTCAAACACTCACTGACTGACACAACTTGGCTTTGACTGACTTACGATTCAAACGTTTAAAAAAATTAAAAAACAGCCAACTTAATTGTTTTTTATTGTTTACTGTGAATTACATTTAGATTTAAATTCTAGGTGAGGTGAAGTACGGCTGAAATAAACGCAAGAAATTATTTTAAAAAACACCCTTATTAATAGAACCGAAAACCCGTAATGAATAGTCTACAGTAGCTATATGTGGCTTTACTGGAATGTTTCAGAGCATTTAGAGTAGTACACCGGGGTATCAAAAACAGAGAGATTACATGACAAAATAAAGAATCACTGAATCAGCTGTAAAAATGAACTCTTGGAAATAACCGATTAGTGTCAGATCTCCCACGACAGTAGAGGTGTTTACACACGCGGGCACTTTCTAAATAACAACCAAGTATTAAATCATAAGTTTTATGTCCTGTTTAAAAAGTAGGCTAAATGAGAACAAATGCACTTCTCGTTCCCTACTCTCCATTACTGTAGGCTGCATGCTTTGGGGTTCTGTAGAATAGAAAGAAACCACTACATGTTCTTGTGTAAACATTTCCGCCCACACCCGTTCCGCAAGCAAAAAATACATGCGGCTTCTTAGCTTAAATATTTTTATCTACATAAAAACTTTTTTATTATAGTTACTAACTTACTCGAATAAGATTTTTAATAGACATCAGAAGTCAAACAAAATTACCTATAAAGAGTTACAAAGTTAAGGTAGCAGCTAAACGACAATATATAGTGTGTGTGTGTGTGACTGCACTTGTTAAAATTACAAATGACTTGTTCTTGCATCAGACCAAGACCATCAGATCATCTCATTTCTAGTTTTACTTGATCTTAGTGCTGCGTTCGACACTATAGATCATGACATACTCATGGATCGATTACAAAACTATACAGGTATTCAAGGGCAGGCTTTAAGATGGTTTAGATCCTACCTGTCCGATCGCTACCACTTTGTTCATTTAAATGGGGAGTCATCTCAATTATCACCAGTAAAATATGGAGTGCCACAATGATCTGTCCTAGATCCTCTGCTATTTTCAATATACATGTTTCCCCTTGGTAATATTAGAAAATACGGGATTAGTTTCCACAGTTATGCTGATGATACTCAACTATATATCTCAACAAGACCAGATGAAACTTCTAAATTATCTAAGCTAACAGAGTGTGTTAAAATTTTTAAAGATTGGATGACCAATCATTTTCTCCTGATCGATTACAAAACTATACAGGTATTCAAGGGCAGGCTTTAAGATGGTTTAGATCCTACCTGTCCGATCGCTACCATTTTGTTCATTTAAATGGGGAGTCATCTCGATTATCACCAGTAAAATATGGAGTGCCACAAGGATCTGTCCTAGGTCCTCTGCTATTTTCGATATACATGTTGCCCCTTGGTAATATTATTAGAAAATACGGGATTAGTTTCCACTGTTATGCTGATGATACTCAACTATATATCTCAACAAGACCAGATGAAACTTCTAAATTATCTAAGCTAACAGAATGTGTTAAAAATTTAAAAGATTGGATGACCAATAATTTTCTCCTATTAAATTCGGATAAGACAGAGATATTACTTATTGGACCAAAAGACAGTACACAGAATCTCGTGGATTACAATTTGCAACTAGACGGATGTACTGTTACTTCCTCTACAGTCAAAAATCTGGGTGTTATATTAGATAGCAACTTGTCTTTTGAAAATCATATTTCCCATGTTACAAAAACAGCATTCTTCCATCTTAGAAACATTGCCAAGTTACGAAATATGTTACCTGTTTCTGATGCAGAAAAGCTAGTTCATGCATTCATGACCTCTAGACTGGACTATTGTAATGCACTGCTAGGTGGTTGTCCTGCATCTTCAATAAACAAGCTACAGGTAGTCCAAAATGCAGCGGCTAGAGTCCTTACCAGGTCAAGAAAATATGATCATATTACCCCAATTTTACAGTCTCTGCACTGGCTACCTATTAAGTTCCGTATCAGTTACAAAATATTATTACTTGCCTATAAGGCCCTTAATGGGTTAGCTCCTGCGTACCTAACTAGTCTTCTACCTCGCTACAATCCATCACGCTCCCTAAGGTCGCAAAACTCTGGACTTTTGGTAGTACCTAGGATAGCAAAGTCCACTAAAGGAGGTAGAGCTTTTTCGCATTTGGCTCCCAAACTCTGGAATAGCCTTCCTGATAATGTTCGGGGTTCAGACACACTCTCTCTGTTTAAATCTAGATTAAAGACACATCTCTTTGGCCAAGCATTCAAATAATGCATCTCATAATCTTGTTATATCTGATCAAATGCACATTATTAGCTTTGGTTAAACAAATACATTTTGCTTGGTTGGAACAGCAGCTACGCTAATTATGTCTCTATTTGTTTGACATCCCGTGGTAACTAGGATTTACACATGCTTCAGTCTGGATCCAGAACACCTGAGAAGAGATGATGCCAACCCCTCAGAGGACCTCAGATGATGCCAACCCTGAAACAACATACAGAACTACCACATTTTGCTATAAGTTTGATTGCATCATATAATAATTGTTGTTAATAGTGTTCATCGTCTGTTTGATTACGTCTTTAATTGATTTTTCCGTACATTTCTGCCATATGTACATTAACTGACAGTCACTACTGATAAGATACTACTAAATATTGTAGGAACTTAATTTGCTGTAAAGTTGCTTTGCAACGATTTGTATCGTGAAAAGCGCTATACAAATAAACTTGAATTGAATTGAAAAGATTGGCATTGTGCTCCTACCTTATCCTCAATTACGATAACCATTTTGATGTCTTGTCTTCAACTGGACTGACTGTAAGTCTGAAAGCTCCTGCTTCATACAGTCAGAGTAGCAGCGTGCATCATTAGCGCCTGTCACGTAGCCCCGCCTTCAATGAACACAACGATCCAATCATGGAATTATGAGGTCCTGTAACCCCGCCTACCACTGCACCCTACAAATAAATTATAATCAGCTGAAATAGTTCAGTACGTACGTTTTGCGCAGCTTGTGGCATACATATTTAAATTGTAACCTCTATAAGGAGTGAAACATGTTAATTTATCTTGAAAAACAATCATTAATCCTGGTTTTGCTATGAGCAAGTCAGAATGACTTGACAGATTCCGGGTTTACTGTACGCGAAGTGACGTCACCGAGAGTAGTGGTGTTTGCTAAACTAGTATAAAAAAAGTAGTTTGTATGCACACAGTACACACATTCTTGCACATATATAGTGCATCAAATAGTAAACATAGAACATTCAATGCTTTTAGATCTCATAAATCTCAGAATAAAACTGCATGTACATGTATATGTATGTATGTATGAATGAAAGCAGCTGACATGTTCTCAAAACTAACACTAATCACTAATCTTACTTAATGAGAAAATAGCTTAGGTAATACAATCAGAGAGATTAAAAAAAACAAAAACAATTACAACAGCAATTGTTTCGAACTATTACACAAAAAATCAAAATGAAGCTCTTTTGGATTTTTTTTGGTCACACTATTATACAGAATCACCGTGACTCATACCCATCTTCTGCTTCTGTGTATTAATTGTTAAATAAGCCAGTCCTTAAGACAACACAACCTATTTTAATATCCTTATCTTGAAAGCACGTCTGTACTTAATAACAGCACTTAATTTAGATACAGTCCTTAATAAAATGTTCTCTTGAATTCATGTCCTGTTGTTGTTTAACTGTCCTCTAGTGGCTGTAAAATGCGATCATCAACTTACTGTTTTTTACTCAACGTTAATGTACTTTATTTTTCTGTAAAAATGTAGCATTCGATTTACATTCTTTTGTGCCAACAGTCAGTTCCAATGAAATTCACTAATCTAAGAAGACATGTCTGCTCATGAACATATTTTACTTTTTGTGTCTGCTTCGCAACCTTCAAGTAATGAGACACCTAGAATCATGAAATATTTCATACAAATCAGTATGTACAGTGCATTTAGAGATTTCGCCTCAATAACAAGGGCATATAAATGTGTTATGAAATTTGTCTGGTTACACAGTTTAATGATAACTTTTTGAATCATGTGAAGAGTAAACTAAATATCTGCATGTTGGAGATGTGACATATCAGCTGACATGTTCTGAATCATATCTTGCATCATAATCCCAATCCCCCCTCTTCTTCTTCTTTGGCCATTTAAGCAGATTCTATGTATTTCTTTAGAACTGTTTGTGGCGTAGCAATGAAATCTTTTTGCTGTTTAAATTTGTTTAAATTCCAGAGTCCAGAAGGGGAAAAATTGCAGAAATAATGAACATTAATAATCAAACATGGAAAATATGACCATATACAACGTAAATATGAGGCTTTACATGGCTTTATTTGTAAACATATTGCAGTGAAAGACAGTTAAAATAGTGACACTTCTTGTAACATAGTTACCATTACCAAAAAAAAAACTTAGTGGACAAGTATGAGATTAATTTTGTTCCCTGGACCTTTTAGACACAAACAGACTTCACTAGGTTATCTGTCTACACATATTCAAGTTAACCAAATGTGTCATAGTGTATTTTATGTAAAAAAAAACAACAGATGGATTTCTAAGCATGCTTCAGACTTTAACAATAGCTTTCCCAAGTCCATCGCCCTTCAGCATCCTTATGAAGACAGCTGGCATGTTCTCAAAGCCAACAGTGACCACTTCCTTTGCCTTCAGTTTGCCCTTCAGGAAAATAATTCAATGTATCTACATACCATTTCCCATTCTCATTCACAGACTGGTGCTGTTATATGCTGTGTAATATCTAATGAAGGGTTTAACTATAGGTGTGACGATCAAGTTCATTCCATTTCACTAATTGAAAGCAGAATGATTAATTTCTAAAGCTGTTTACCTCTTTCATCCATTTAAGCATTCTCTTGACAGATTCTTCATCTTTGTGTTGCCAAGAGCTCACCATAAATCCTTCTATCTTCAGTTGTCGTGTAATTATTTCATGGTGAGGATAAGGACCTATGAGACAGCACAAACAAATCGAATATTACATTGCTTAGCTTTTTCATATCCTATACCGTCCTCTGGTGGTTGTAATGTGTAACAATTTAAAAGCGTCGATTTTTTTTTTCTGTAGGCCTAATCTCTTCTAATATTAAAATGTGAAAAGGGGGTCAGCAGAAATGAGACGTACACATCTGTGGTGTTGTGTCATTGTAAGTGGCTATTGCACCGCAGACAGCGATACGACCTCCAGGCTTCATGTTTTTGAGTGCTGCGGTAAAGAAGGGCCCTCCCACCTAAAGAACATTCAATAAAAAAAGCTTAATAAGATTTGTTAACAAGTAGCATACTGTATTTGAGACAAAAATACACATATACTGTTAATTACACTCTCAAAGTAGCAGTCATATCCTTCAGGTGAAGCGTTCTTCAGTGCTTCCTCCAGTGAGGGGACAGTCTTGTAGTTGAAGGCCTGGTCAAAGCCCAACTCTTTCAGGTATGCCACCTTGTCATCACCTCCTGCTGATCCCACAACCTTGCAGCCTTTAATCTTGCAGATTTGCCCCACCATCGCACCTACAGCACCTGCTGCTGCACTCACCAGAATCGTCTCACCAGACTGTATCTTACACACCTCTTCCAGGCCATACAGACCAGTTAAACTAGAGGATAAGAAGGACGGGATTTACAAAAAAATACCTGATATTTTAATTAAAAGTACAAAAGAATTGCCTAACGATTCTGAATAAAGTGTTGGTTTTGTGTGGTGGCTATTGAGATTCAAAGAATAAAAAAGACAGCATGATCATGAGACTTTATTTTCTTTCAGTCTATGTGTCACTGCCATCTTTTGAATCAGTTTTTAGCAGTCATGATTACATTACCCAGGCATCCCCAAGGAACCAAGAGCCAGGGACATTGAAATATCACTGGGCCATTCAGATACTATCCGGGTCATGATGGGCCGGGCTGGACCCTTCGCTGTGATTACAGAGTGTGTCCTCCATCCACAGTTAGCAACCACGTAACATCCCTCGGGAAATGCTGGGTCCTTGCTCTTCACTACCCTGCCAGACAATAAGTTAAGATATTTATATGGTGATATGAATTGTTTTTGTTTATGAACAGACCTGTTTCCTCACTTGAATGCAACTTTGTGGTTTAAATTACTAATGCAATAGCTAAATATGCAAATTGTCTAAAAAGTCTATACAGTTTTTCTATTTAAACTGTGTGTTTCTCTGTTGCTCAAGATGTTTTTCCACAAGTGGAAGTGTCTTCATCAGTTGATGCAACTAAAACCACATTGATGAGTGGCTGAACCGCTTGAGCAACAGATCCAGTTGCCTAGACATTTTCTGATATCATATTAGTATATATCAAATTATTCAACATTTTATGATTACTTGGATAAGATTTCTTTCCCTTTTCAACACTGAACATGTTTTTTGTTTTTGTTTCTGTAAACGCTCTGTATAACTGAAATGAATCTACTGTATATGACTAACAAAAAGTGTAAATAAGATGTAACAATATACTGTACATTACAATATACATAGGAATAATTGTTTCCTTACTTTGCAAGCTGAGTTCCATATTGCACATCCCCCTCTTTTATCCACATTTTACTCAGAGATCTACAGAAACAACAGGAGGCATTTAAAATATTGGCTAGAAACACCACATAGTATAGAATTACAATTAAGACTATAGACACCTTTACTTCATATATGGATCAAGACTTAAATAGACTGCCTCCACAAGCACATCTGAAGCAAAAGTGATTATGATACATCAGTGAGGCATAGCACAGGTATACAAAGAGTCAAATATATGAATCGTCCATACCTCCATCTTGAAGCTCTGGCAGAACTTCTTCTTTCAGTTCAAAGTTGCTTTCCTTAGGAAAGCCATCAAAGTGTTTTTTAAGGATCCACGTCTTTGCCTTAACCATGATTATATGTCAGATGCTGCACAGGCAGAGTTCTTCAAACTTGAAGTTGTTCTGAGAGAGAGCACAGTGCTTTCTTTTATTGTAGTGATGACAATGAACACTCTTACATAACAAAACGTCTTTATTGACAATAAATGACGTTGCAAATTCTTGTAACCTCTATACTGACATTAATGAAGTACTGTATGTCTCACCTGAGTACACTGAATATTGTTTACCTGGGACTTTCGATATTTAAATTGTTTTATCTGCATTAAATATTAATAACAAAACATTTGTCCTTAATGTTTTAAACAACCGTCTAGGAGAAGAGGTTTCACCCCAGGTACCCTGACACCGCACATTGTGGATGTAAGCAGGTGTGTTAGACAAGTGAGATGTGATCTCAACTGGCTTTGTCATAAAATGTGCAGGGCTGAGGGTTCTCAATCCCAGGAGCTGTACAGTAAGCAGGGTTTATCTGCTATCCTGTGCAGATTTATTCTTAATGTTAAATGTCAGAATTTTCAGGATTGTTGTGAATTTCATACAACAGACATTCAAATATTGTGAATTTTAGAGTGAGTGGTAAACTTGAACATTGTTGGTTTGTGGATTAAAATTGATTTTATTTTCTTATTTGTTGCTAATTGTAGAAATATCAGAATAATTTTTAATGCACAGTCAGGATGACTTTGAAATTACCCACATAACCATGACATTGCATTCTATATGACAAGCAGCGTGATCCCACCTAGAAACCCAAATCAAAATCATTATTCCATATACCACTAAAATGAAATGTTATTCTAAAAATGTATTTGTATATATTCTTAATCAATGCAACACAAAAGCTACTACACATTTTGTCATGGATGAAATACATAAGTCTTTTCTTTGCCCCACACAAGAGATACTCCCGTCTCTCCTTTATTTGTAAACCTTCATTTTACAAAATAGTTCCTTCATAAATAGCCACAAGATGTCAGTATTCAGACAGATATTTGTGTTGTGTCGTTCATTGTACATTACCTCCAAACACCCAGTGCAGGTAGTAAAAATGCCAAGTTATTTTTAAGCTCATGTATTTATTTATCAAAATAACTTTCTTAGAAAACTTGTCTTTTTAGAAACTTCTTTTAGAAACCTATACAAATTGGCATTATTTGCCTGTCTGTATCAGTCTCTGACTCTCAGACTATATTGTGGAAAACTTGTGACCCTTATCAACAATGAAACCTAAACAGATTCCAAGGATAATGGATGAAATAATAGTTTTATTGAAAAGAAACCTTATAACCATGCTTATCAAATTGTATGAGTTGCATTAAAAATCTTACACACTGTCCAAAGAATGTTAATTATCTATATGCTGTTGTTCATGTGGTTCATCTACAGTAGTTCATGATGACTCAGCATATCCTCCTGAAAAATAAGTTGTTTTTTTCCATGACATAATTTACAAATGCTGAATAATGTTGAGCAACAGACTTAATAGACCTATGTTAATCTTTTGGGATCAAAATTTCCTTCATGTTTCTAATATTAGAAAAAAGTATAATTTTATTCCTGCTTTGTGCATATCTGTTCTAGAGAACTTGGCAAATGTGACACTGATTTACAAAAAAACAGACTTTATTTGTAAAACAAAATAATGGACACAACATGAAAATATACAATTATTAATGCAGAATCTATAACAAAAATGGCAAGATTGTTGTTTCATGAGCAAACCACTGAAGTACTTGCCATCAGACTTTAACAATGGCTTTTCCAATGTTTTCTCCCCGCAACATCCCCATGAACGCAGCAGGCATATTTTCAAAGCCAACAGTAACATGTTCTTTACACTTCAGATTTCCCTGTAAACCATCAAATCAAGAGAATCTGCATCATTATCAAAATATGAAACTTACTTAGATGAAGTATAATTGTATTTAGATCAAGCATTGTATAGCATTAAACCAAACTAGCATTTTTCAAGGAAACCAAGCATTCTGATGTACCTCTTGCATCCAGGTCAACATTCGCTTCAGTGACTCGTCATTTTTATGTTCCCACCTGCCCACCAAGAAACCTTCCATTTTCAACTGCTTAAAAATCATTTGCAGGTGTGGATAAGGACCTAAAAAAGACAAACACATATTATCACTGCTGTAAATGGACAAGAGTCTATGTCTACCCAAATCTTCATGTCTGACTAAACAGTTTTCGTATTGTTTATACTGAGGTATTGATTCTATAGCGTAAAGGTCATTCTCTACTGGTTAAAACGAGAACTACATGAGAAGTTAACCAAACCTGTCTGTGGGGTGGTGTCATTGTACAGTGATATTCCTCCACACACAGCAATACGGCCAAATGCCTTCATCTGCAAAATAGCAACACTCGAAAAAGGGCCGCCCACCTGGAAACCAAGCCAAATCAAGATTATGAAGTCTTTTTTTTTTTTAAAGGTATTGTCAACTGAGAGTTAGTTTCATAAATTATTAACCAACTAGTACCAGTCAATTCTTACATTCTCAAAGTAGCAGTCATATCCTTCAGGTGAAGCGTTCTTCAGCGCTTCCTCCAGTGAGGGGACAGTCTTGTAGTTGAAAGCCTGGTCAAAGCCCAACTCTTTCAGGTATGCCACCTTGTCATCACTTCCTGCTGATCCCACAACCTTGCAACCTTTTAGTTTGGCAATTTGACCAGCTACAGAACCAACGGCCCCTGCGGCTGCATTTACCAGTAAGGTTTCTCCCGGTTTGATGGCACAGACCTCCTCCAAACCGTAGAGTGCAGTCAACCTGTGGAGCACAGTTAATGTTACTTATTATATATTCATGTACCGGTATCATTTTATTATTTAAAGTTTATATGTGGTGCCTCAAATAAAATATATTTTGTAAATAACCTGAAAAGGGAAAATTGTCACCCATTCACACCAAGAACGCTAACTATAACCATATTAGCACTCACACCAGTGCACGATAAAGTTCTGTTTTTTTCTAAATGCATGTTGCAGTAATGTCATCTGCCACTTTAAATGCTCATGTGTTTTGAAGCCGGATGGGTTCTGATTGGCTGTCAATGTTTTTATGGTTCATCCAAAAAAACTGACTGAAAGTGATTCCAACAAATTGTTCTTGTGCCGTTGTCATTATAGTTGTGGTTAGAATGATTATTAAAACTTTATACAGTAGTTAGAGTTATCATTATTGTTATCATCCTTGGTTTGAATCAGCTTTTACAGTTACTTAGTTCTTTATCTGCTTGAAAGTCTGACATTCTGTGCTGTTGGATGCTTCCTGTTTAAGCTATGCCTTCTTTGTGTGAACAGTCAGGAAAGAATAACACCATCCATTTGCTATCAGCCAAAAACACTTCTGAGAACATGTTTAAAAGCAAACCAAAACGAAACTCACTAAGCAGAGAACATGTGGGCAACAAATGTTTGTTGCATAAAACCATAATTGAATTGCAACGCACATCTCATTTTCCCAGAACTCAGCCATAACTAGTCACTACGTCAGAGATGATTTGATGTGCTTAAATGAGACATCAGATAATGACTATATCACAGTGGATTAAGCGTTTGACCAAAACCATCTGGAAAAGAAACAATTGTGGGTTCGAAAGAAGCAGTGAGTTTTACCCTGGCATCCCAATGGCTCCAAGGGCATGGGAGAGGGAGACATCCTGAGGCCAGTCATCCAAGATTTTGGTGATATCGCTCCCATCTGACACAGTATGTGTTCTCCAGCCACATCGACTAACCACATGGCAGCCCACAGGAAATGAAGGATTATTACTTTGAATCACCCTATAGTTAAAATATAAGAAGAGACTTTGATTTACAAATTAACGGATCACATTAAGTAGGTAAACAACACGTGGTGAAAGAGGTTTATAAACCATCAACTCCAATATATTTGAATGAGGAGAAGGAGAGACATTGTCTCATTTAAAAAGGGCATCTTCTAAACACGAACATATGTTATTTAACTGGTCTCGTAAAGTATTTGCAGTCTTAAAGTATAAGCATTAAATGCTTTGAACATTCTGCCAGTTCTTGATCGGTCTATTACAAAGTACCCTAACTAACGGTCAGTGACTGTAAATGGGCCACAGATGCTTTTCTTTTGTAATGATGACCAGATTTTTGGAAACTTTCCATTTTCCACTGATCAGAAAGTCATGGTTTCTTTCGAAATGTTGAGAAAAGAGACTGAACAAATTGAAGCTAGTCAGTTGCAGCTGTTATGGGACAGAATGGCTATTTCTCTTACTTGGCAACTTGAGTTCCGATCATCACATCTCCTGCTTGCATTCGAACACGGCTGAATGGACTAGAAGAAATTAAATAGATAGGAAACTTGGAATTGTATATTTAGGGGAAAGTAGTAGTAATACATAAAACGATTCATAACAAACAAAACAAGGAGTAATTTTCAAACATGCAGAATCAGTATGACTTACTGTCAAAAGAACATTAAATGCAAATGTTAGTGCACCTGTTCAATACAGCTTTGTCACTCACCGCATGTAAGGGTCCACACTAAGGAACACTGCCTCCAGAAGAACCTCTGAAGAACAAGAATAAATGCCACTTGGTATGAAATAGAGTAAATATTGGAAAAAATATGACATTTGAGGATCACAAACCTCCATCTCTGGGCTCAGAGAGCTGCTCTAGTTTCAGCTCAAAGTCGGTGTCTTTAGGAAAGCCCTCAAAGTGCTGCTTCAGGATCCAGGTTTTGGCTTGAACCATGACTCTCTTTGTTGAAAGCAACTGTAAAAATAAACGAAAATAATTTTTTCATACATGTGCAACCTTCAAAACTACAGACTGTTGCACGAAACGCAGATGATTAGCTCACAAAACACATCAGCAGTAAAAAAGTAACGGTCCGAACAGTATGTGGTAACCATAATAATTGAACACGAATTTCCTAGTATACATACCCGTTAATACACAAATTCCCTGTTCCTGTACTTGCTGCTGTTGCGCACAGTAGAGAACTTGTTTAAGGCCCTCCCACCGTCTTCTTCTTCTTCTTCTTCTTCTTCTTCTTCTTAGTTTTATGGCGAGTTGCAATCTTTGCGCATATCGCCACCTACTGTGCTATTGTGCAATCAGGATTTTCTTTTATTATATTAGTTGTTCTGTCTCAACTCTGAAGCCATCAAGAGTCCAGGTATCGGTTGGCGCTGCGTGTTCAGCTCTTCCGTCCTCCACACTGAACCCCTTAGACTCCAAACCGAACCCTCCCACCGTCCATATACTGCTACATTCTTGGCTGAATCTTAATCAGGTGACATTTTGTATCTATCTGATTGGCCGACTCAATTTGTCAATCATTTTCAATGAAGACGCTTCTTAATGTTGTTTTCAGTAAATCCACTTCTATATATGTTTATACAGTTTTAAGCTGTATTATAATATCATTCCATCTTCTGTGGCAAAAAAAATAAAAAATAAAATAAAAATAGGCTTTTGAAATAATATATTTGTCGAGGAACCACCCCACGTCATGTGACGAAACCAAGCGCGGGCATTTCGGAAGTGGTAATCGAGACAGACTGCAATACATCAAAAGGGTTCTGGTTTTTAAGGTATGGATGTTTACTATATACTGCTTTATGAAATATATATCATTGTCAGTTTTTGAAAAAAAAAATATGGCAAATGTATTATCGTTTGTACTCGGTAAACCAGTAAAGCAAGCCAATTTAGCTTAATGCAAACGTTTAACGGTAACGTAACTTGTTTTTAACGGCTCTTGAAATTCAAAATATATTGCTATTCATCTGTCATACTGAAGGTAAAGCTAAAGCCGCTTTGACTTTAGCTAGCCTATCTTTGAGGTATTGGTCATGACCGAGTCGTGTCTGAAAGTGAAACTGCTGCGATGGGTCTTGTACAGTCCATTTTTTCTTTCTTGAGAATTATTATATTTTGAATATCTCTATATTTATACGTGTGTTTTGTGAGTGTGTATGTTTGGTTATGGGTCAGTAAGATTATAGTTAGAATGGTTTCTGAAGGATGTGACAAACTTTTGAATGGTAATGTGTGTGTGTGTGTGTTTTCCTATTTGCACACAGTACAGTAACATGCAACATTCACCTCAGTAGGTCCTTCACTTTGTAAATACATAGAATAAGTCGGGCTTGTTATAATGTCTTTTGACCATCTGCTTTAGGATAAGGAATATCTGAAGTGTGAGCCAAGCTGACATAAGCAGCCATGCTGGATGGGGCTCAGTTTGTTGAGGTGTTGTCACGGTTGGGTTACCCACGGGCGTCTGTGCTGAAAGGTTCCGAGTTTGACTGGTTATTTGACACAGCACCAGATAACCTGCACCTTTTACGTGTCGTCTGCAACCGCCTGAACCGCAGCAATGTTCTAACGCCAGAAGAATTGCAAGCGTACAAGGCACTCCAGGAGTCCGGGAAGCCCATGTTGGATGAGGTGACACTGGCTGAGCTGCTTAAAACCTGTTTGCCCGTAGATGGAGGTGTAGTGTCACAGGGCTGTTCTGCGCTGTGTGGAGGGGGAAATGTAACAATGGAGGACC